TTTTTATTTTGAAAAATTATGTATTGTATATAATAATAATTATTCAAGTGGATTAGGTGAATTCAGGTTGAGTTGGTCGGGTTACGGGTTAGTCGGGTTCGGGTCAATTGGGTTCAGGTTAATCGGGTTGCAGGTCAGTCGGGTTGCGGGTCAATCGGGTTGCGGGTCGGGCGGGTTACGGGTTGTTGACTTTTAGTCAATTCGGGTTGCGATCGGGTTACGGGTCGAGTTGATCGGGCGGGTTAATCGGGTCGGGCCATGTTTTGACACCCATACTAGCTATGGAGAGGCAAATAGACCAGATGACTCAAACTTTGCCAGATATTCAAGATAGGATTCCTGGGACTTTACCGACAAATACTGAGAGGAATCCAAAGGATGCCATGGTTGTAGCTGTCACATTGAGGAGTGGGAAGAAGTTGGAGGATCAAAAGAGCAAGAAAAATCCAGTAGAAAAGGAGGGAAAAGCAGCTGCAAAGGAAGAAAATGCAAAAGCTGAAAAATCTGCCTTGCACAGGCAAACCATGGTTTTTTGCCTGTGCATGAGCATTCTGCTTGTGCACCTCCAAAAGTGGAAAAACTCAAGAATGAAGTGGTAAGGCCTTATGAACATCCTGCACCATCCCCTCAAAAGTTAATGACGCCCATGGAAGACCCAAATTTCAAGAAATTTGTGAATATGTTCAAGCAACTTCACATTAGCATACCAATGACAGAGACACTTGAACAGATGCCTACATATGCTAAATTCTTAAAGGATTTGCTGCCTAATAAGCGTAAATGGGTTGATCTAGAGAAGGTGACCCTTACTTCTGAATGTAGTGCTGTGATTCAGAATAAATTACCAAAAAAGAGGGATGATCTGGGAAGCTTCACCATACCATGTGTCATTGGATGTACAGAGTTCAATAAATCACTTTGTGATCTTGGAGCATGAATTAATTTGATGCCATTCTCAGTCTACAAGAAATTGGGATTGCGAGATGTTCTTAAGCCTACTCGAATCACTCTCCAATTGGTTGATCGATCAGTGAAAATTACAAAGGGAGTGGTGGAGAATGTATTGGTGAAGGTGGGGAAGTTTATTCTCCCAACAGATTTTGTAATTCTGGAGATGGAAGATTATCGGGGAGTGCCTCTCATTCTTAGTAGAACTTTTCTAGCAACTGGAGATGCACTCATCGATGTTGGGAGAGGCAAACTGACATTCAGAGTAGGTAAGGAGGAGGAAATATTTAATGTCTTTCAAGTTGATCATAATAATGATGCATTTGATGACTTTGAAAGTGGAGCTCGAGAAAGGAAAAATCCATCCTCCTTTAATAGTGGACCACCAGAAGAACTATCACATATCCTATCAGCTCAGATTATGAAATCAAAGCAAGGACAGAAATCCTTGCCATGTCACCTCAAGTATAGATATTTGGGTAAGGATTTCAATCTTCCTATTATTATTCATTGTTCACTGATATTGAAACATGAAAAGTACTTTCTTGAGGCACTGCAGTACCACCTACGCCTCACTAATGGGTCTAACATGCAAGCTAAGAAGGTCATACCGAATTTTCGCACACCTGGACCTACTAAGGTGACTCATATGTTAGATGGAGGTTATAAGTTATATCATTGCTCGGGAGGGTATTCTAGATACCTTTCCATACCCATTGGTTGAAAGCTCCAAGAACGTCAAACTGAGGACGCTAAACAAGCGCTTCTTGGGAGGCAACCCAATGTTAGTTTTCTTTTCTTTATCTTTCTTTTTAGTTGTGTCAAACTTTTGCATGTTTAGATTAGGAGCTGAACATTAGAGACAATGTTCCATCCTAACTCCCGAGTGTGGGGTGGTGAGTCTTACTGTTTGTTTGTTCCTTTTGCATGTGGTCAAAATAAAAAACTTTCATTTAGCTGTGCACATCCAATCTGCATGCAGTCTACCTTTGCAGGTGTAGTCTGCCTGTGCTAACCTAATGGCTAAAAAATACCTAAAAATCAGGAAAAAAAATTAAAAACAAAACCTTGTACTCTTGTGGTAACATGATGTAAATGACCGTGATGCCTTTAAAATGAGTTTGTGCATGAATGAAATCATTAAAATCACCCTACTAGTATTGAATTGCAAAGTTCTTCACAATGGCCTTGATAATTTGACTGACTGGATATGCTTTGAATGAGCAAACTCTTTTAGCAACACTCTAATTTGTGAGGATAGTGTAATGACTTTTTGGTGAAGTAGTTAGGTGGAGAACATTGACCATTCGACATGTTTGGATACCGTGCTTACTTGCATCTGTTGTGAGCTTTTGACTTTGCAATGATTCTCTCTGTTTTAAAAGGTTTTATAATGGGATGAACTGTATCTTTATAAAAGAAAAAAAATCCTACCTGACAAGTAAAATTTAAGAAAGTTGTCATAATAATTATAGTGTGGGTAAATGCCAAGATCTTGTGAGGCAATCACTCATTGCACAGGGGGATTAGGAAAGGTTCAACTGAGCATCGGTTCGCGACCGTACAATGTTGCTTATCAAGTACGATCCCCCATTGAATGAAGTGTCGGATGTGTAGTGACCCTCCACACGGACCGAGGAAAAGGAGTTGAAAGAAGCCCTTATGCACGTGTAACTGTGTAAGAAGCAGAAATTGCTCTTGCTCGGTCGCCGGTAGTGAGAAGCAAATCCCACTTGTACTAAATACGACAACTCGGCAAGCAAAATCAGAAAGAGAGAAAACCTCTCCTTGTCAGAAAAGGTAGTGATGTGCTTAACGTTAAAAAATAGTTAGCTAAAAGCTTCCCCAAATTTTTTTTTGTGACTCTTATGCTTAGTTGATTGCTTATGATTGATGTGAGTAAGCCAGATTTTCCTCACAACTATTGCACCAATAGTTGTTAATCACCCACTACCGATGACCTGAATTGAGTGTTTGCTAATTGGTGTTTTTGTGGATTAAAGTCAGTCGATGGTAAAGGGTTGCAAGACCTTGAGTATGGAGTGAAAGGTATGATCATTAAAGCACAACTCATCCATTGAGAAAGAAACTACGAATTACCACAAGAGTACAAGGGTAAATTTCTGGTGTTAATGTTGTGTTCTGTGTGTAGTGGGTCTTGTGTTTTGAGCAAGGTTGTCACTGTGTGGATTGTGCATATAGATCTTTAAGTCGGCATGCATATTTTTTTATCGGGTTATGGACAGTTTTGCTTATTTTTCTAGTCAACTTAGGTAGCTACATTCAGTGGAACTAGTGAACATCTAGAAAACAATGGATGTAATTTATGATATTATGAATATATCCTCTACCTAGTACTTATATAGTTCCATTACAAAATTATTATATTAGAAATTAAAGAAGTGAAAACTTGAGACAGTTGATGAAATTCTTTATTTGGATGTTGTAATTATTAGAGTTCATCCTATTTTTGACATTGCAATTCTTTATTAATTATGACAAAGTTTATTCGAATAAAGATAAATTCATGTGTATTTTTTTTATCATTCACACCACTTTATGTTTTACCACAGGCTGCTATCCAGAGTGTTCATTCCTCTTCACAATCTACAACCATCATTGGATCCCAACTTAGGCCATCGCTACACGGAAGTACTAACAACATTGATGTTGATTTTGTTATTGCCAAAGATTGTATGCGTTTGGCACATCTTCCAATCACTCCAAAAGAAAACACGATGTCGTAACACTATCGCTCCACAACGTTCCTCAATGTTATTGTCATTCCCTTTTTTCTTGCGAATGCTCACTATGGTGGGAAGATTAACAAACCAGAAGGACATATATAATATGGTTTTTTTTTTTCATTTTAAGTGTGTTTCATGCTTTTATATTTTGCAAACATGATACATTTGGATTCTCACCAAAATTTTAGTATTCATCGCAATTTGGATAATTAAAATTTTATTTATGTTGATTTCTCAAATATTAATCTTTCTGCTAACTACTTTTGCTACTGTAAGGGGTTTGTCTTCTTCTGGAAATCAATTATCCAATTCGAATGTCCTCACTTGTCTGGTAGATACAATCAAGACTTACTAGATGTTTAGTTTAATTAACTCGAAGCACGTCTCATTTTTAAAGACTTATTTGTTATCCTAAACACTGAAACAAACTCATGTCACTTATTCCCTATGCCGTTACCAACTAATGACAAATGACTATAGAGATGTTGCCCTCCACAATATACATAAGCCAAAAGCATTATTACGTCCATACCAATAGTCTAATATTTGACTCAGCTACCTCCGCCCAACGGGTCGGGTTATAAGCTAGTTAATTAAAATAATGCAAGTTTGAGAAAAAAAAGTAACCTGACGTGGTCATCATTAATGCTGCATTTTTGTCTTGATTAATCTGGTCACAAGTTTGTTTTTAAACCAAAATAAGCCCCCAAGACATGGTCGTACAACAAATTTATAATAAAGACAAGTATAAAGAACGGTAACTCGTATACAACCGGACTCCTGACATTAATTTTTGGTTGCTTCAATTTTTGGTTGCTTCAACTTTCAGCACAAATAGACTTGCATTTGATTATGTGGGTGTCTTTTGCATGATATTAATTCCAAGAATGAGAAAAATTTTCCTTTCTTTTTTGGGTTTGAACATCTTTTTGCTACTGATTCGTACAATATGGATTGTGCATATAGATCTTTAAGTTGGCATGCATATTTTTTTATCGGGATATGGACATTTTTGCTTATTTTTCTAGTCTTTATTAATTATGACAAAGTTTATTCGAATAAAGAGAAATTCTTGTGTATTTTTTTATCATTCACACCACTTTATGTTTTACCACATGCTGCTATCCAGAGTGTTCATTCCTCTTCACAATCTACAACCATCATTGGATCCCAACTTAGGCCATCACTACACGGAAGTACTCCCTTCATCCACTCTTTCTCCCTTCCTCAAAGAACAAGAAAACCCTCCGAGCACCAGAGCCCCTATTTCTATCCAAATAATCCACTTTCCCTACCCCAGCTTACCTCAACCATGAACAATCTTGTTTCTCGAACTGCTGAACTGAGTACCGGAAGGCCGAAGCTGATCTCCACTTGAGGCAAAGGCAGATCGATGTTGGTTGGCAAGATGCTGTCGGAAAACCGAATAGCCTATGCTAAGGCGAACGGAGCAGCCCAATATGCTTGGGGCACGTATGGGGAGATAGGAGTTCAACCAATAGAGAACACTCCCAATCTGTTCTTGTTCACTTTCCCAAGTGAAGAAATTTGGGAGAAGGTGTGGCTTGCAAGACCGTGGAGCTTATCCAATACTCTCACGACAATAGAGAAATGGAATGGAAGAGGGTTGCCCAAAGAAGTCCCTCTTGATCGCCTTGCAATGTGGGTGCAGGTTCATAGGCTTCACCAGAACATGAGAGTGGAAAGCAACATTGATGCTATTGGATCACATTACTTCCCCAAATTTATTGATCTGGACAGGAGCGGGCTAGAGTACAACGACTACAGACTCTTCTCCAGAATGCTTGTAGAGGTCGACTTGAGAGAGCCAGTCCCTACTGGTTTCGACTTCCCTTTCACTGATGAAAAAACTGGAATTGAATACTGTGAGTGGGTTTCTTTCAAATATGAAAGGCTCGTCGAGCTTTGCTACTTCTGCGGCCGGATCGGCCATAACTGGCCTACTTGTGGGCTGATGGCAGAGGAAAGGAAGGTTAATAGAGAGGTGGGTCTATCTGAGATCTACAACTCATCTCTCAAGGCTGGAGTTGACTCGCCGAGAAGAGTTTCGCCGGCGAATGCACGGATTCAGCGGGGGGATGGTTTCTCCCAATCAACGACGGAAAGAGAAAGAACTCGATCGGAGAGGCAGAGTCTCCTCTGATATGATTTCATTTGGATCGGTTTACAAGCTTGAATTGCTTGAGCAAGAAGCACACTTCATCACTAACAAGAACCTTTATTTTTGTCCAAGTATTTTATATGTTCCAGGTACACTACTTTTCACATGTGCAACTCGGGATACTTTCAATGAAATGAGGCGAATGGTGGCTTGTTTGGAACCTGGGAAGTTGCTCTACAAGAAGGAATGGTTGGGAGCTCAAGAAAGAACTAGAAAGGCCACTTTTAAATTCTCTCAAAACCCTATGTCAAAACTGGGAATTGGCTAAGGCATGGAACGTGGCCATCAAGGTGACTTTGAGGCTTTGTCTGAGACTCGTGGATGAACGTCGAGCCTGGAAGCTTATACCACATGAGAGTACATTTCATCTACTTCAACGACGGGGCATTGGCTAGAAGAATTGAAGATTGGAAGGCTTCCTACGAAGCCCAGCAAGGTCGCATGAAGCCTCGTGGAAACTGCCTTGCTACACCACCAGTCCGAGTCCCTGGAGGATTCAGTTTGTCTTTACCTTTTTCCGTTTGAAGTTGGGTTTACAAGTTTGTTTGTGATTTGGAGTCCTTATTAGTTTGAGTAGTTATCTTAGTTATATTTAAAGACTTCCAGTACATTGTAATAGGCAGATCTTGATTAAGAAGAATACAACCTTGAGTTTGAATTCACCTAGTTAGCTACGTAAGTTGAGTGAGCAGCTTGGAAGGAATTCTAAGTTGTTGGAGAGCTTGTATCGATCAATAACCACCTTGATCGTGGCCAAGCAGCAACCTATCTATTTCGAGCCTTCTCCCCTTGCGTGTGGGATTGCACGAAATCAACCGTCATCATCTTTCAAACCATCCATAATCTTGACGAGTTCAGGGAGTTGAGCTGCCCTCACTTCGCGGGCTTGATTCTGAACCAAAGGCCTTCTCCCGGGTCATATTATCCTCGGGAAAAACGCTCCAACGAACAACCCCTATGGCCAACTAGAAGTGCCAGAATCGGCTGGTGAACCGTCACTCCTGCCGGGTTTCGAGAAGGAAAAGCTGGGGGAAGAAATCACTCCTACAACAGCCGATATTTATGGTGATGTGAGGGGGAAGGGCGGATACAGAGCTGAGATGGGAGCAAAAAAATTGAATTTTGATCTGGAAGTGGCGGCGACCGCCGCGTTCAAGGGAGGCTTATGGATCAACGATGGAGGTGGGGAAGGATCGAGTAGGGCAATAGTGCAGGGCTAGGTGGACACTTTCCTCTCTTTGGATGAAGTTGAAGTCCAAGATATATCTATGTGAGCCCACCAACTCTCATATGCTGCTGAATATTATCAAGAGCAAGTTGGGCTTGAAGTGGAAGTGGTCGGTCAAGCAAAAAAAGAAAGGGAATGACCCAAATAGCTGGTGGGTTTAATTTGGGATCTGTGGGGCAATCAGGCCCTATTTATTCCCCAACAAAGACAGCGGTTTCTGAAGGTACTGGTAACAAGAACAGGAGGAAGAAAGGCAGCAAGAACAGATCATCCTCAGTGGTCAATTCCAGCTTCTTCAACTCTACAGATGAGCCTGGAATTCAGGAGACAAAGGAGGTACAGCAGCAGTGGTTCGCCATAAGCCACCTCTACAAGAATGAGTATTATTAGCTGGAATTGTAGGGGATTTGGCCGATCCCTTACAAGAAGCCACTTCAAACGTTTGAATTAACGTTTTGGCCCGTCAATCTTCTTCCTCATGGAAACGATGAAAACTGAGAAGTTTATGGAAGAGAAGAGAAGAGAGACAAATTTTCAAGAACACCATTTTGTGGAACCGGAAGACCGTTCTCGAGGTTTAGCGTTATGGTGGAAAAACGGAGTTAATGTTCAAGTTCATAGTACAAGTTTTATATTGATTGTATTGTAGACAATGGTAGTAAGTTCTTCTGCACTTTTGTCCATGATCCTTCGAATCCTAGCGATAGGAGGGACTTTTGGATCTTCCTTAACTCACTTAGGGAGAATAGGGAAGATAGTTGGATTGTAATGGGTGATTGTAATGCGGTAGTTGATGAATCGGAGAAGGAGGGAAGATGCCCAATTCGATACGACAGTGTCCAACCTTTCAAGAACTTCATCTTCCACAACGCCTTAATTGACATTGGATTCAAAGGCGAGCCTTTTACTTGGACAAACAATTTGGATGGCCCAAGACTGACTAGTGAAAGATTAGACCGTGTGCTCGGAACCAACACTTGGAGGATGAAGTTCGGTGAAGCCACGGTTTTCCATGAAGATAGAGTGGACTCAGATCACCATCCTATCCGACTTGAGCTTTACCAAAAGAGAAGGAGGATTAACGTTCCTTTCAGATATGATAAGAGATGGAACGATAATGACGAAAGTACTAATATAGTGTCATCTGTTTGGGTTAATGGAGGGCTATCCACTAGCAATCTCACCAAATGTGACGCTGAACTCAAGGCATGGGCTAAGGAGTACAACAAAAAACGGTTGGCTAGGTCTAATGAGATTCAGGAGAGGCTTGCCATTCTTCAGCGACCTCCCCGCCCAATTGAAGCTATTGCTGAAGAAAAGATTCTAGTGTCTGAACTCTCCAAGATTTGGGCAGAGGAAGAAGCCTTCTGGAGACAAACTTCTAGAGTTAATTGGCTTCAGTTGGGAGATAAAAATGCACCCTTCTTTCATTCTACTACTATCTCACGGAAACTAAGAAACCGGATCACTAAACTGAAGAATGAGGAAGGGGTATGGATCTCTGATGAAAGTCAACTTAAAGCTCATGTCAGGGATTCTTTTATGACGCTTTTCAAAGCAAGGGATATGGGTCAGATCCCTCATCTTCTTCAGGATTTCCCTAGGAAAGTGACACAGGAGATGAATAATGATCTGTGTGCTCCTTTTACTAATGATGAGATATGCAGGCCTGCTTTTGGTCTGGGGTCATGTAAATCTCCTGGACCTGACGGTTTTGCTAGAAATTTTTATCGCAAGTTTTGGGGTATCATCGAGAGTGGCTTGTGTGATGAGATTAGAGGATTCTTTTCTTCGGGTAGTATGCCTCAAGGTTGGAATGACACCCATTTGGCAATTGTTTCTAAGGTCAAGTTCCCGGAGCTTATCAGTCAATTTAGACCCATCAGTTGCTGCAACTACATGTATAAGATTATTTCGAAGCTTATGGCTAACAGACTGGAAAAGTGGGTCCCATCAGTGGTGTCCGAACTTCAGACAGCCTTCACAAAAGGAAGGCTTATCCAGGACAATATTATTGTGGTGCATGAGATGCTTCACCACTTTAAAAACCACCGTAGAGGGAAACGGCGCGACATGATGTTAAAACTGGACATGAGGAAAGCTTATGACCTTGTTGATTGGGATAGTCTGGACTATCTCCTACAGCAGTATGGGTTTGATCCACAATGGTGCAAATGGGTTAGCGCAACAGTTTGAACAACGAGGTTATCTTTACTCTTCAACGGGGAGGCTACACCGTTCTTTACCCCATCTAGGGGAATCCGCCAGGGAGACCCTTTGTCCCCTTTCCTCTTCATTCTCATGTCAAATGCCCTTACATTCCTCATTGATAAGGCGGTTGCCTCTAAATCCATCCAAGGGATTAAACTAACTCGGAGATGCGTAGTTATTTCACATTGTCTGTTCGCTGATGATACCGTGATTTTTGGCAAAGCCTCTCCCCTTGAAGCAGAAAAGATTCTACAAATAATTAAGGACTATGGGGAAATCACTGGACAGGAAGTCAATGGTACTAAATCCTCCATCTTCTTCAGCGTAATGTCCTACAAGAAGAGAAAGATTCAATTATTGCTGTAGTGGGTTTTGCTAGCTCTAACTGTCACTCTAAGTATCTTGGGGTACCAACTGAGTGGGGAAGCTCGAAGAAACAAACTTTCTCCTTTCTGATTGATCGCATGGAAAAACAGGGTGAAGCTTGGAAGAGCTTAACTTTATCTTTTGGAGGGAAAGAAGTTTTGATTAAAGCAGTTATTCAAGCTATTCCCACGTATATTATGAGCCTCTTTCTCCTCCCAGAGGGAACCACAAGGAAAATGGATAGTGTCCTCAGACGTTTTTTCTGGTCAGGCTCGATGATGAAGAAAACTATTCACAGGTGCAAATTAAGGAAGGACTCTATGCTTACCTAAATCAGAAGGAGGCTTGGAATTCAGGAATTTCAAAGACTTCAATTTAGCTCTACTTGCAAAACAGGCATGGAGACTATTGATTTCGCCTAATGCCCTATGGGCTAGATTACTTAAAGGGTTGTATTTTCATAACGAAGAGTTCCTACAGTCAAGGAAAGGTAGTCGCCCTTCGTGGATCTGGGCTAGCATCTGGGAAGCAATAAAGGTCTTGGACTTGGGTACAATTAGGGTTATTGGTAATGGAGAAGATACGTTGGCTTTCAGGGACCCTTGGATCCCATCCTCTTCAGACCATAGGCTCCAGGCAGATTCCTCCTCATCGGCCAAAGTTGTAGAATGGATTGACCAGGGTTCTAGGGAATGGGATCAGAATGCTATCCCATCTCACTTTTCCCAAGATGATGTTAGCTCGATCTCAAGAGTTCCCATAGGTCCTAAGGAAGGCAAAGGTTTTTGGGGGTGGAAGTTCACTAATACAGGGAAGTTTACTGTCAAAACGGCCTACTATGCTTTCCATAATTCTATTTTTGGTAGAGCTGACCACCTTTCTCATGTGTCTGTCTTTGACAGGGAACGATGGAAATGGGTGTGGAGCCTCTCCCTGCCACCAAAACTCCACTTCTTTGTTTGGAGATGCGAAAGAAAGTTGCTTGCAACGAAATGTAACTTGTGGAGCAGAAAATGTGCGCCAAATTTGAACTGTCCTTGTGTTGACAACACAAACGAGTCTATGTTCCACTGCCTAGTCTCTTGTCATCATGCAGCTAATGCCTGGACCAGATTATTCCCATCTCTTCCGTTCCCGTCAGCCTCCTCCTCCTTCCTTGATTGGATTTACAGCTTGAAGGATAGTCTCTCGTCCTCGAGTATCCTACAAGTTGTTTACTTGTGCTGGAATATATGGAAAGTAAGAAACGCGTTGGTGTTCAGGGAAAGCATCCCTTCTGATTACAGCACCTGCATAGCTGCTACTCGAGAGTTTCAGGAATGGTCTTCATGCCCCGATCCTC